AAGCATCACACCTGCATGTCAGGGCAGCACTCTTTGTGCAGTGATAGAGCATACAGCTCCCCCGCTCATTTAGCTGACACTATAGCGAACAAGAATGCTGTAGGCCATTTTAGCTCCACTGTTTCAAGGAGTTTGAATGGCTCATGCTGGAATCTCATGGAGGGAGAGCCAGTTGCTTTTGATAGGGAGGCACCCTGCTACCTCCATGAAGAACTGAGCAATGAGGGGACAACAAGTCAATCTAGTAGTTTCTGGGGACTGACACATGCTGTCTTTTTTTGGCTGCTACCATTATTTTTGAGCTGAGGTGGACCTGCCCTCCTCCAACAGTTCATGCTAAAATTGGAAAATGGGATGGGCTGTGGAGGTCCACTTGAATCCACTTGTTTCCCATTCCAACATGAATATGTTTATAAATGAATATGTTGCTTTGGTAGATGGAGCTACTAACCAATAACTGAAGCAAGATCATGACTAGTAGATACGCTGTCTCAGGAGCCAGGCCCACAGCTGGAAGAGATGGAGAGGCATCCAATGGGCTCCCAAGGGTGACCTTGAAGAAACGATCAAATGGTGTTCTGCTAGTTGGGAGCCACTAAGATAATGGTCACCTCTTCCACTTGGAACCTCTGCAGGTGGGGGTGAAGGAGAGTAACGGAGGGAAAGGCATAAAGGGAGGCCATTGCATCCATGCCTGATCGATTGATTATCTCTCCATATGGAGAGAAAGATGGGATGCTGAGTTATCTCCCTAGACACAAAAAGATCTGCCACAGCCATGCCAAAATATCCCTAGACCTCCACCAGCTGATCTGCTGTGAGGTTGGCCAGGTGTTGCGCAGTGCATTGCCTTCAGGGACCAGAACTGTGGGTACAACCACTCCTGTGCATTCTGAGCCAGCTTGCTGAGGACCTGATGGCCTTCTTTACCATGTGAATAAATATTGTTACTGCCAGAAACTCAACTGTTTTGGGATCCCAGGACAGCTTGGGGTCAAGATCAATGCCGAGACAGACTCATAATCAAGGTTGGGCAGTGTTGACTCAAGGTTTCAGGGTCAATTTGAAGCCCACCTGGTGAGGTAAATCTCAAAGGCCCTAGAAGGCCCAGAAACCCACTCCCCGTTTCTGACAACTGTCAGAAAGTGGATACGCTGGGAGATCCCCTTGCCATCTCCCAGGGTATCTGGGGTCATTAGGGTCTCCTGGGGCAGTCTCTTCTTTGGTG